TGAATCCATTGCACGGACCTCAGCCCTGTGGGCTTCTTCTCGCTGTCCTGTATGGAGCCGGTTCCTATTTGCCACCGCCCGTTCTTGCAACTACAGAGCATTGGGTACTGGATGCCTATAAGGGGTTCATAGACTTCCTGCGCGACCCGTGCGCTGGTCGGAAGCATCACGCTCCACTGATGGACGCCCGACACTCCTGATCTATCCGAGGCTAAGCTGGCCTGTTGGAATTGGTAACAATGCCCAGGCCGCGTGATGGCATACCCAAGGCCAGCCAGGAGGCCGTCCGGCGTACTGAAGTCGACTTTTCCGAGGTCTTTATGGGCTGCTTGCAATGCCGCTCCGACCGGAGAGGGGCTGGGACAATGCTCGTCTGTGTGCCATTGGCGTCCCAGTCGGCCATGACTTGCTTCTTCCGCAGCTGTTGTCAGCTTATCAAGGGGAACCTCCGCACTGCTATGTAGGAGGCTGCATATGACTGCTGGCAAGTCATGTGGCATAAACCAGCGATGCGCGGCCAGAAGGCCAATGGGAGCTTTGAGGAGCAATGCTCTATGTTCTCTCAAATTGTCAGCAACCCCTCCGGGGCTTTGTTTGGGGTCTCCGAAGAGCAGTCGAAAAAACGGCTGGCGCGGAATGGCTGGGACGAAGGCGGACTTGAGGTCCATGTCCTGCTGCGCTTCTTCTCCTACCAGAATGTCGATTTGTTCCATGTGTACCCTTAGCGCCGAATGCGTGTGTGCCTTTTGCTCCCACACCAAGCCAGTGGTTGCGATGACTACTTTGGCTTTGGGGATAGCCCCTGAGCAGTACTGCATGGCCAAGTCATACCTGGTACTGGCTGCATTGGCCAAGTTTTCCTCGCGCCCTACTGCCCTTACGAAGAATTTGGCTTGTTCATTGTCTAAGGCCAGCGAAGCTAAGAGCTTGGTGATGGCACGACCGGCAGGGTTTTCTTTATGGACGACTCCAATCTTGAGGTTGGTCGTTAGAGCAAGCCAAACCAGAAGGAATGTGAGGGATCGCATCTTTCCGGCACCAAAAACCCCTGCCACAGCCAGTGTAGACCGCCCTGTTTGTAGGGCAGCTGCCAGGGAGAGGGCTACCGACATAATATGGGCGCTGTCGGTGCGGGCTGCTCCACACAGCTTCATGCCTAGCACAGTGGCTGACGGACAATGCCTTGGGGCATCGCCCGTTATCAGCAGCGCAAACAACGAGAACAAGCTTTGCTGAAGTGCCTCAGCACCATCAAAATGGTAGGAAACAGGACACGAATAGGGTATCCCTAGTGCAGTGGCTTTGTGTTCCAGCGGCATCGTTGCCATTTGCAAGAGGTGATCTGCAGAGGCTGTGTTGCCTACTTCGGCTAAGCTGAGGATATGTAGCGGTGTGGTAAGGGGGGCAAGTGTCCTCATGCAATAGGGGAGACCCCACTTGGCGTCAATGTTCAGGCCCAGCTCACTTCGAGTAGGCAATGGGGCGAACGCCTCTGGGACTGGGATCACGGCTATGACCCATGCCTTCGGGCTGCTGTGCCGAGCTGTTGACTCTTCTAGGGTTTCTTCCCCTCCTTTCTGAGACTTCTTTTTGGGCTGTGCTACATACTCTAAAAGGACACCGAGCAGGGTAAACGCTTCTGCTTCTTCTTGCACTACGAAGCGATAGACTTTGCCAACCTGACAACCGACATGGATCTTGTCTGACGGCATTCTGAACAGCTGCTCTGTGGGCTCTTGCGCACAGAAGGCTGCCGCCCCTGAGTGGGCCGGGAAGGCGATACGGTATTCATTCATACCTCGCAGTCCTTGAGCTATCGGGGTCCCTTGGACTACCGTAGCCTGACGACGGATCACTGGGCTGGTCCAGAGTTGAGTGGCTAGCTGTGCTCCCTCTGCAAAGGGGAGTTGCGGCAGGAATAGCGCAAGGATCACAAAAACTTCCCGGAAGGGGATGGGCTGCAAAAGATCTCTTGGAACTGCCGTGAGCCATTCAGCACAGTCGCTTTCCTGAGCACCACCTACTCGGAAGTTACGTAGGAGGAGAGCCTGCGCCTCCTTCAGTGATGCCTTGATCCGGCACACACTGGTTGAGCAGTGTCAGCAGTGCATCATCCGGGAGGTGGATGGCAGGTACCAGCATGGCAATAGCCGTGCTCCATTGCCGTCTGTCCATGACTGTTTCAAATCGAGACACGTCCAGATTCGATTTCTCTGGATTCAAAAGAAGTTGGCAGAAAAGGTGTTCGAACTGGTTAAGATCGACACGAAGTTGAACACAGCTGACATTTGTACAAAAGCATTAGCTAGTGAAGCAGTAGAACGCCATTTAAAGGCGATGGGTTTTGAAGCACTTTCAGGACGATCTTCGATAGCGAAAGCTGTCGGATGATTGTCTGTATAGTGAGCAAAAGTGGTCCCAAAATGGACACAAACTCGAATCACCTCGTGTCCAGGTTGGGTGATTTGGGACATGGACCCTCATAAACAAGAGTGGTGCCCTGACCATTTTGGCTCAAAATAAATAGGAGTGTTGCTACTTTCTGTTCATGTGTGGCTCGACTGACTGGAACAATTATTTGCGTGTACGAGTCCTGCGCACCCTTGAGCCTTCCGTACTTCTCTCACAAGGAGCTGGTGTTCTCAAAATGGATGGTCAGGCTATTTCCGCTCATGACCTTTTCAAGGCAGTTTTTCGTGAATCGCCATATCCTAGCAGTGGCAGGTCGCTAGATGACCTCTATTTATTGTCGACTGCTATTAAGCTTTTTGCCAGAAACATACTGTCATCAACCTACATCCATGCCAAACCCGTAGGTTTTAGTGGGGAAGGGGAGAAGGGTGCTGGCATTCATGCTTGAAGGGTTTCTGCACACGTTCGATGAGCGTCAAGGAACCCCCTGACCGTTTGCATTGTCCAGCGGACCAAAAATCAGCAGCAGCCCCTTAAAAAAAACATGCCGGCGCGTGCAGCAAGGGCGTTGCCATAATGTTTTTCAATTTTGACACCAAAAGGGGAGCGATGCGAACAGAATATTGGATTTACATGGTTTTAACAGATTAAGTAAAGTTTTTTGTAAAGGCGCGTGGAACTGCTAAAGTACACAATTCAATAACAATGAACAGAGAGCAAAAATTGTAGGTCTTGCAAAGCCTTCAGTGGTTTCCGAGTCTCTGCGCAAACAACATTGAAACTGATTATTTCTCAAAATTGTGCTGCCAAAAATGCAGTGTTTATGTTGTTGTCGACTCGTCGATTTGCGAATGTTCTTGTGTTAAAGAATGCTGATGTGACGTGCAGCTTGTTCCGTTTCAAACCCGGCGCGGCCGGTGGTTGGCGCGTTAGGGAACCTTCCATCAATTTCTTTGCTAAGACACATTGGTTTGTTTGCGCAATATATAATTTTGGATAAGTCTTAAACACGCAGGCATCAACCATGATATATCCTCATATAGAAGGATAGCGGCTAGCCATGCAGCAGTGATGGCACCAAGAGTTTTGCCAGCCTGGGCCCGTATGCACGAATCTGCTCCGCCTCCTCGTGCGGAGTGATCCATGGCTCCCCGGTGGCACTGCAATGCTTTGTTTTGAACCATTTTCCACTATTTCTTTTTCAGAAAGTGTTGCAGATTTCTATCTTCAATCAGTCGACTCAAGTAAGGATCATGTTTCCAGTCTTTTCTTCAGACACGTGTAACGGACTGACCCCATCAATAATCAACCGACTCAAGTAATGTCAACCAGGCGATCAGGGAATGGCTTCTGGCGACAATAGCGGTCCAGAAAAGGGACACCAGAAGAACCAAACACAACCACGGATCAGGAAGCGGTCTGCATGTGTACACGGTTCATCTCTGCCTTTCTGGTTGTTGAGCTGCACCCACTTTGTTTTGTAAGCGTGCCGAACAAACTATGTCTGACAGTTGCAGAAACGTCATGATCTGAGGCCGCGCAATGTCGAAGGCCGAGATGATGCAGGGTGGCCCAGGGGCATTCCTTGCCACAGGTGTCGCATCCTGTTGTTCCTAGTAGTAAGGCCAGGAGCGCCCTTAGTAGCGTCCTTGCTCCTAGTAGCGATGCCCTTTGTTACTAGTAGCTTCTTGGCGAGAAGATTTGGTGGCTGTTTTAGGTGAGCACAATGGGATCCAGTAGCATTGAACTACATTTTGTCCTTTGAGATCTGGCGAGAGACTGCTTTCAATGGACACAGCCCTGAACGCAAACAGCATCTTAAAGTCCTTGCCCTGTGGCAGAGCATTAGGGCCACAAAGAAGGGAAAGATGTGAACAGGCCTATCAGTTTGATGAACAATGGTTTCTGCACCCGGATTTTGCATTCGGAGAGTCCCAGGACCTTTCGCCCGCGCTGGTGGCTGGGCGCCTGGCAGTTGTTCGTGCTCCTGTTGCCTGGCAGCATCGCTAGCGTGAGAACGTGGCTCCTTTCCATCGGGTGTGTAACGGGTGGTGTGGATGTGTGGCGGTCTTGTGTGTCTCTCTTGAGTCCAACCGAATAGCGATGGCCTCCATCTAGTAGCTTCTAGTTACTAGAAAGCTTCAAAGACATACTAGAAAGCTTTATGTCCTGCTATGATGAGCTGATGCAGTTTTTCCATGCTGTCCTTGCCAGACATCTAGCATGTCGAGGTGGTTGAGCACCCTCCTGCTTGTCGCGCTCCCGCGAGCGCAGCTTGGACTTTCACATACGAAATGGCTGGCTGGTGCTCTTGTGTGTTGGGGTCCGCCAAAATGTCCGCACGATTCCAGAGGGTTGCAATTTGAATTATATTATCGCCCCGCTACCCATTTGGAGGCCATCACTATTAGGGCGAAGGCCATCGCTAATAGGTTGGAAGCCATGGCTATTAGGTTGGAGGCCATGGCTATTAGGTTGGAGGCCATCGCTACTAGCTTGGAGGCCATTCTGCTCTTTTTGCGAAGGACGTTGGAGCTAAGTCAGACCTTGGGATGGAATGGGCAGTGCTGACGGTGCTGACGCCAGGCATGCTTCTACCTTGTCGGGCATTGCCCATGTACCCGCCGTTGACACCAGCACGGTGGGCGGCTGAGGGCAAATTTCAGCGATGCCTGTCTGAGACAGAGCATTCGTTCTGAGCAATTGGCACGGCTATTCCTTTCATTTTGTTGTCTATGCATGACACTGCCAGCAAGTCAAAGCCTGTTATTTTGCAGAAAGGCCTTGAGTCTTGCACTTTATTTACCCTTTCCGAACAAGGATGCTTAGACACTGCTTATCATGATTTTCTGTACATTATAAACATCTGGGAGACTTATGATATTACAACTTGACATTTCGCTGTAAACTTTGGAGCTTTCTTTTTTGGACACCCCGGCTCGCCTCAGGGGATCCCGTACCAGGCCCCCTTGATTGAGCCTCTGAATCGACTCGGGGTGCAGGACAGAGCACGAATGTGTTGCATTTGCAAACGAATGTGTTGTATTCTCCAAGTTTCATGACAGCAGTTTGCAAGATTGTTCTTTTTGATTCAGCCGTATTCCGCCTGACTTCAAGTCTTGTGCAATCAAGGCATTCATTGTTCGATTCAGTCTGTGTTTGGAGGAAGATACGGCGGCCAAGAATTTGTCACAGTATGTGCATATCGGCTGTTTTATTGCTGGGAACTTGGACTTGTGCCAATTTTTGCTCGATTTTATCATTTGTCATTTAGAGAGAGGCTTTGAAAGATCGCGGCAACGACCTTCCTTTGTTCTAGCAGTTCCCCTTGTGCAACTTGATGCCCATACTTGGCAGTAAATTCCGGCTTTTTGTGACCATTACATAAGCTAGTAGTAACAAGTGCCACGCTAGTAGTAACAGGTGCCTTACTAGTAGTAACAAGAAGCTATTAGCAACAAGTGCATCGCTTCTAGTAACAAGTGCCTTACTAGTAGTAACAAGAAGCTGCTAGTAACAAGTGCCACGCTAGTAGTAACAGGTGCCTTACTAGTAGTAACAAGAAGCTATTAGCAACAAGTGCATCGCTTCCAGTAACAAGTGCCTTACTAGTAGTAACAAGAAGCTACTAGTAACAAGTGCCATGCTAGTAGTAACAGGTGCCTTACTAGTAGTAACAAGAAGATATTAGCAACAAGTGCATCGCTTCTAGTAACAAGTGCCTTACTAGTAGTAACAAGAAGCTACTAGTAACAAGTGCCACGCTAGTAGTAACAGGTGCCTTACTAGTAGTAACAAGAAGCTATTAGCAACAAGTGCATCGCTTCTAGTAACAAGTGCCTTACTAGTAGTAACAATGTTTGCCATTAGTAACAATAAACAAACACATACATCTTGAGTCAACACTCCAAGAGAAGGCTCTGTGACACACATGGTGCGCCAGCACCGATGAGGCATCGATGGCCATTACCAGAGATGCCGAGCAGGATGCGCACTTTGACCCCTCCGCCTGTGTGGAGGCGATGTTCCGTTTTTTCAAGGGCATGGAGAACAGGGAGCTGTTCTCGTGCTTGGACATGTTCAGACTTCCAAAAAGCGTTCTCGGCTCTTTCGGAGTAGGTCTTTTGGGGTAGCTGGGGTCTAATTGATGAGAGAAGTTGGAAGAACGCAAGCAGACTGACCTGGATTCGTGACACATGCGACAGAGGTGCTGGAACTAAGACAGACTTGTGTTTTTTTCTCCCTTTCTGTGACCTACTTTGAGAACATTGACAAGCCAAAGCAGTTTCTCGAAGCTTCATATCTTGAACGTTTGTTGAAATCTACTCATGTACTTCGTCTCTGTCTTCTTTGTTCAGTCGCTTTCTGTTTCTCACGCGAGCGGGCCATCGACCGAGCGGCCCTCGGTGCCAGGTCTGCCGAGCGCGGTATCCCAACGTTCGGCCTGCAGAGATTGTCGCAGCCGTGCATGGGCCACGTTGCGGCTGCCATGTGGGGACGCTTCCCGAGGCGGGATGGAAGTCATGGAGGCTCGTAGGCCATTGCTAGCAGCAAGCAGCCAGTATGTTGGAGGCCATTGCTATTAATTAATCATTGCACTGCATCCCCAAAGGTGAAGGCCTTGTCCGGGCAAGCGTTGCAAAGGAAGGTGTTTCCACGCGGAAAGATGTTTGTGGAATGTCCTTCCTTGGGCATGGAAATCACAGCAAGTGGCAGTTTTTCAAAGCCAAATCTTGCGTTGGTGCCAGACCTTCTCGGAAGTCGATAGTACCTATTGCACCTACCAGTGCAAGTTTTACGAGAACCCCATTTGCGGGGGACCGCCGTCCTTCTGGGGCGCTTGGCACTGAGTTTTTGGAGACCTGAAAGGGTGACTGAAAAGACACAGTCATCATGCAAAGGTTTGCGTGTTTTTGTTTTTTTCCTCAATAAAGCATGCATAATAGAAAGAACGATGGATAGAGCTTGGAGAAAACCCATGACTTGTTCATATTTTACTGACGCTTATTGACCTATTGCGGTGTGTGCACCAAGGTGTTCGTGCAGTACGACTTCCAGGTATCTTATGCTTTGATGCAGAAAGTTCATCAGAGATGAGATGACTATAGTAGCAAAGAAGCTACTAGAAACAAAGGGCATCGCTACTAGGAGCAAGGACGCTACTAGTGGCTCCTGGTACTACTAGGAACAAGAAGCTACTATTGGACCTTTCTTCCTTTTCTTTCGCTCCAGTGGAGTCCAGGCCTTTTCTTCCCATGGTGCCTATGATCCCTGGCGGAAGATTTGGTGCGAGCAGTCTGAATGTTCGTGGAACAGACAAAGCAGACGTTTTCTTTTGTTTATAAAAGTGTGGCACCAAACTTCCCACTGAACTTGCCTGGATTCCAGGTACACGATTGCCGTCGTGAGGGAGGCGACCATCATTGGCGCAGAGGCCTGGAATCCAGACTTGCAGCCAGGAAGCCCAGCTATGTGCGTGTCATGGTTTATCCTATTCGGCAGAGAATCCGGTAACCCTCGTGCAACGTAGGAGTCGTGCATTGTGTACATTCATGACAAGAAGTTTGGACATGCCACACATCATTGACTGAAAATGTAGAAGCAGAACACACAAAACTAATGAACTATCGATTCTTGCATTCCAAAGACCCTGATTCCAAGGTTAGACCCTGAGCGGTATTACCTCCACGCTGCTTCGGTGCAGACGGGACAAGCTGCGTTGGAGGCCCAGGTAGCAGAGCACGTCTCAGCTCAGAGAGATGAGTTCGACGAGTATGGCCTTTCAAGACGAAGGGAAATGGGACCTATGGGGTTTTCTGACGGCCACAGAATTGCCAGTTTGGTTATGGTAGCAGGCAGTTTTTCTTTGATCTGAAGAGTTGAAAGAATCTCAAGGACCTTTAACTCATGTTGGACTTGTCTTGGTTCAATGTCAGCTCATTGGGGGGGTTGACTTGATGTCGGAAGACCCAAAGACACTGCGAACCCCACTGGCCTGCTCACAGACCAGTAGGCTCATGGGCAACAAGGTAGCACACCAGAGTAGCCATCCATTCAAACAAAGCAAATTCACTGAACGGTCCAGTGAAAGCTACCAGGTTCAGTTTTCAGCTACAGAGACTCCGAAGGAACACAAGCTTTTTGGAGTGCTTTGTAAGAATACTCTTGGTCATTTCTTTTGGCCGGCGTCGCAGCGAATGCGGACTGTAAAGATCATTCGACAGTGTTTCAGTGCTGCCATGACGGGCATCCAATGTGTGGTCTTTGATTTGGACGACACCCTGTGGAGCACTGCTGCAACTCTGGAGCATGCCCATGAGGCGCCAAAGTGTTTGCATAAACATGTAAAGACGTTTTACAAGTGGTAGGTTCATGATGATTCATGCAACTCATACAGTGCTCATCGTTGCAGTTTTGGTGTTTTTTCTTTTTTGGGATTTTGTTCTGCTGGAGATTGGCAGGTCATGAACAACGCTCTGCAGACTGAACTGCCTGAGGAGCCAATAGAATCTCCTGAGCAGTTTCGGGATCGAATGCGAGCAGTGCAGAAGGACTTTCCTGAGCGCCTGCTCGTGTGCAAAAGCATTTTGATCCACCATGTTTAAACGTTTAAACCTGTATGCAAAACCCCCAAATCACTTCAAGCGGTTTGCCAAAAGTTTTCTGCCGGGTTGTTCTTGCGTGTTTTTCCTTTGTCCATGGTGCAAAAGTCTCTGCAGGCGCGAGCACGACTTTGGCTTCTGTCGGCGGGAAGCGCTGATGAGGATGACAGGATTGGGACGAGTGGATGGGCCCAAGGGCCCAAGCCAAAAGACATCAGCCTAATAGCTTCTTGTTCCTAGTAGCGTCCTTGTTACTAGTAGTAAGGCACTTGTTACTAGAAGCGATGCACTTGTTACTAATAGCTTCTTGTTCCTAGTAGCAAGAATGCTCCTGTTAGTAAGGCCAGGAGCCCCTAGTAGCGATGCCCTTGTTCCGAGTAGCTTCATGTAGCTTCTAGCCAAAAGACATCAGTTTTGTTGCCAGATTGATTCTCCTTTCGTAGCGCAGCTCGTATTTTAGCTGGTAAAAGCATTTTCACGTCGATACATGTCTTGATTTGTGCGTGTTATCTACACTGAATGTTGACAGGTGTGCAGACCCTTTCATGCTAAACTGCTTGATTTCGTGCAGTTTAAAGCCTGCACGCCTCCCAGACATCTCTCATTTGCGTGTTGGCTGCCTGCAAAAGTTAAAAGCGAGCTCTCAGCTCAAAGCCCCGTCCACTCAGAGATTGGTACTCCAGGAACTCCAGCATCATTGCACACACGCACACACACTGTGTGCAGCCTTCCATATCTTTCTTCAGCGTGCAGCCTTCTCATCCTGCAAGAACTCGGAGGTCATGTTGTGGTGCTTGTGGTTCTGTGTGCTGTACTGGCACACACCTCGTAGGATTTTTCCATGTTTTTCCTTGAACTTTGCTGGACTGCTAGGACAGTCTGGCTGTTGGTGGAATGCCACCACACTATTTGTTGAGTGGAAATCAATCTCCTCAAACTGGGTCTTAAAGCTAAAGCTTTGGGCTCATAACTTGCTTGCGGCGCTTCCCTTTTGGAGCTGATAACTGCGGCTTTACGTGCCAAAACGTGTGCACTTGTCGTTCCAGGGTACAATTCTGGATACTGTGCATTTTCAACTCTGCAGACTTGTGTGATCTCAACACAAGTCATCTTCCAGAACTTTCGGTGTGGCGAGCGTGTAGGAACACAATTGCGTTGCACGTGTAGGAGATGCCATGTTGGCGGAGCGTGTCTTCGTGGCTTGGCACAAGGCGAGGAATGAGCCGACGCTCTTTGACGGCGCCGAGGAGATGCTACGGAGGCTTAAAAGGACGATGAAGATCGGCTGCTCAGCGCCAACATTTTCATTTGCAGATTTGCACGCACAGCAAAGCATCGGGAAGCAAAGCAAACCTGCTTTCGGAGAATGTGAGTGATGTCGTTTTTCAATCTCTTTGGTTTTAGTATACAAAATAGAGTCTAGGCGTATAAGAAGCTACTAGGGGCTCCTGGCATCGCTACTAGGAGCAAGGACGCTACTAGGGGCTCCTGGTCTTACTACTAGTAACTACTGGTAACAAGAGTCTAGGCCAAGTTATATTCGAGTTCGGTTTTGCAGTTCCAACTTGTCACGCCATGGGCGATGCCGCAATGCCATGGTGTTGGTAGGTACACTGACAGATGGTAACGCGGATCCCTTCGTTATCAGCCCTTTGATGCTTGGAGCGTCGAAGGCTGAAGGAAGTTTGTAGACCGGTTTTGTCTCAGAATTGTTCCAGCTTCTCCAGTGCAAACTTTTAGGGATTCCGCACTTTTGTGATTCCACTTTGATTGAAACATCTCTTCCTTCCCTTGACAGCAACGAGCGACAGCCCACAAAAGAAGCTGATGCTGTTCACTTGTCGACTCAGGAAAGACTTGATCGACTTTCATGTGAACTCAGTTGAGGAGACGGGCTTTGGAGAGAGGACACAAAAAGCCAGACGAACACATTTGACAGAAAATACAACGGAAATGCCTTGCAACGCAATCAAACATCGAGGCGAGAAGCGCACAGTTATATGTGGCAGAGCTTTTGGCATCTGTTATATGTGACAGCACCCGTTTTCCTCAGCATCTCTTCGACCGTCGCACCCCGAAAAGCCGCCAACCTTTGTCCGGGCGTTGGGTCGTTCACAGGCGGGCGCTCCAAAGCCGGACCTGCGGATGTTCAAACTTTGCGAGGCCAAATCAGGCTGCTTGCCCAATCAGTTGGCCCGGGATGCCCAGTGTCGAAAACGTTCAATCAACAGTGAGAACAGGTTGCTAGCTATTTGATGTTATTTGCTCCAAGGCCCAACACCAAGACTCTAACGTTTTTTCCTCAAATCAGGTCATGGTTGGCGACAACGTTGGGAAAGACATTCGAGGCGCTCAGGCTGCAGGCGCTGACAGCTGACATTTCAACGCCGCATGAGGACTAGATAGGTCAACATCAGCTGATTCTGGTGAACAGACCTGCCTTTGCTCGAATTGAAAGAATTCTAGTAGGAGTGGCCTCCACCCTAGTGGCGATGGCCTGCACCCTAGTAGCGATGGTCTCCACCCTAGTCCTAGTGGCGATGGCCTCCACCCTAGTAGCGATGGCCTCCACCCTAGTAGCAATGGCGCCCGCCCTAGTAGCGATGGCCTCCA